CTTGCTGGATAAGCCTGTGCCTCAGTTTCCCTCATCGACAGCACACAGCAACTTCCCAACTGGCTTTCACCTCAAACATAAATTGAGAAAAGGGATCCAAGCTACACACAATGGAGGATAATTTTCGCACTCACTTTCTCTCTCAAAATCATGCAACGGCCCCAAATATGCCAAAAATAATCAGGGACAAAGTTGGGGCCCTCCAAAGCCTGGCGGGGTGGACAAGTTTCCCTGCTTCTGACCTTGCACCTCGGCAGCTTCTCCCTTCCCCAGCAGATTCCTGGATGGAAGGTGGCAGCAGAGGCTAAGGCTTCATTGTCATAAAGGTGGGCGGCAGAGGACGGAGTCCTCCAGGTGAGAAGCTGGAATGTCTGAGATCACTCTGATGGAGGGGCTGGACCCATGGGGTCAAAAGACTCCCAAGCAAGAGTGGGAGGCTGGGCTTCCAGAGGCCCACCCTGGCCACCTCACTTGAGGGTCAGATGTCCCTAGAGAACAGATGGAAGGGCAGGGTCCTGTCCCCCAGGTACTGAGACCACCTGCTGCTAGAGAAGTCAGGCCAGATGGCTCTGGGAGAGAAAGGGATTCCAGGTGCCTGGAACTCCCCCAACACCCCCAGACCAAATCCGTCCTCTCCCCCAGAGGCACCCCACCGCATGCCCTACTCTGACAGCACCAACTTCCATCCCGATGCTGGACCAGACTGGGCAGCTTCCTGCTCCCCCCATCCATCCCCACCTCTGGGGCTACATCCTGGCACCTCAATCTGGCCGGAACCCACTGCTTCCCTCTCTGCCCTCAGACCAGGCCCTACATAGCCCCCCGGAACAAGGCCAAACCCACCACCTCCACCACCGCGCCCAGGGTCCACCACAGGGCCTGGCACATAGTAGGTGCTCAAGAAATATTTTCGAGTAAGTGAGTGAATCTCTTGCCTGGAAGATAGCAGCAGCCCTCCAACTACTCTTCCTGCCTCTCATCTTCCCTCTCACTAGCCACCTAGGGACTTTCTAAAATAATTATATTAAAAATAATCAGAGTACAGTTGACCCTTGAACCATGTGGGTTTGAACTGTGTGGGCCCACTTATATGTGGATTTTTTACAGGACAGCACTGTATGTATTTTCCCTTTGTTCCGATTTTCTTCACAACATTTCCTTTTCTCTAGCTCTCTTTCTTGTAAGGTTACAGCATACAACGAACATAACATATAAAATATACGTCAGTCACTGTTTATGTTACTGGGAAGGCTCCCAGTCAACAGGAGGCTATCATTAGTAGTTATGTTGTGGGGGAGTCAGAAGTTATATGCAGATTTTTGACTGTGCAAGGGGGTCGGCACCCCTAACCCCTGAGTCGTTCAAGAGTCAACTATAATTGCAAACATGTGTCCCAGGCACTCTACTAAGGACTTTACAGGTGTTATCTCCTTTAATCCCCACAACAGTCCTGGGGGGTAAGTACCTTCTTTTTTTTTTTTTTATGATTTTATTTATTTATTTGAGAGAGAGAGCACACGAGAGGGGGGAGGGTCAGAGGGAGAAGCAGACTCCCCGCCGAGCAGGGAGCCCGATGCGGGACTCGATCCCGGGACTCCAGGATCATGACCTGAGCCGAAGGTAGTCGCTTAACCAACTGAGCCACAGGCGCCTGAGGTAAGTACCTTCTTATTGCTCCCATTCTACAGAAGAGGAAAGTGAGGTGCTCATTCAGATCACATTACTCCTCTGGCTAAGACCCTTCATGGCTCCCACACCCCCAGGATACAGTCCCAACTCCACGATGCAGCCTCCCTACACCCGCAGGTGCTGCCCCCTTCCCCCAGCCCCTCTCTCACATTCCTCCCCCACCCCCCACCGCAGGGACCACCTTCAGTTGCTCTGGCCCACCCTGCTGTTTCCTACCTCCAGGCCTTCGCACAGGCTGTTCCCTCTGCTGGGACCCCTTCGTCTTCCTGTGCCAGCTTCACGTGGCTAACCCTTGCTCATCCATCCACCTCCACGTTGATAGCACCTCCCCCAGAAGCTATGATGTCCCCTCCTGGGGCTCCCTCTGTCCATGTTCTCTTATCACCCGCCCCCTGGCCCCCTGGGCTCTAAGTGCCTGGCCACACGTCTGCCCTCTGCTCACCTGCACGGGCCACGAGAGCAGAAACTGTGCCAGCCTGGGGCACACAGTAGGGCCTTAGGAAATGTCTACTGAGGCCTTCATCTGGGCTAGAGGTGGGAAATGGTGGGGTATTTCCTGCTGTAGAAGCCAAAAGGGGTCAGCGCTGTCTGGGGCCGAGCCCAGAGCGGTGTTAATAAGGCCCCTGGGGTATCGGCAAGAACGGCAGGCAGCTACCAGGTGCTACTATGTTCCAGGCACCACGTGCTTCACATTAACTCATTCATTTAATCCTTGAAGCAATCCTTAGGGATTTGTTTTTAGTGTCCCCATTTGACGGAGGAGGAAACTGAGGCTCAAAGAGGTTAAGTCACTTGCCAAGGTCACACAGCTGGGAAGTGACAGAGGAGGATTTGAATCCAGGGTACAAAGTCCAAGTTCTTGGCCTGTCACTGGGGAGCTGGCAACAGCCGGAGCAGGAATAACCATCCCCCGCCCCACCCCGCCCCACGGCTACGCTAACTAGAGGCCCAGACCCTGGGGCCTTGGACACATCTGGGAGATATGGCCCAGCAGCCCTGTCCCGTGCCCACAACTAGGCAAGGGGAAGGGGAGAGGGGTGTGGAGGACACAGGGAGAGTGGCTGAGGAGGGCCAGAAATTGACCCCACCTTGGGGTGGGGAGAAGGCCCATGGCCACTCTGTCCCTGGGGCTGTGTCCCTGGAGAGGCCCTGCCCCTCTAAGGAGAAGGAAGCCCCAACCCCCTTCAGCAGAGTGAGTCACTGCACCAGGCCAGGCTGGGGACCGTGGGAACCAGGCCGGTTCCTGCCAGAGGGGGAGGGGGTTACTGCAGTGGCGGCCTGAGGAATCCCATGGATCAACCCACACCAAGGGCCTGGATGGACACACAGGCCCTGGAAAGGCCGAAGGAAGGCCCAGGGGCTGGCCTGACCTCAGCCCGGGCCACCACAGTAGGGTCTTCCCTCTGTAGAACAGGGAATGACTTCCCACTCACCTCCTCTGGCCCTGAGACCCCCAAACAAAGCTTGTACCCTCAAACACACCCCTTTGGAGGATGTGGCTCTGCGGAGGGGAATGGTAGATGTCCCAATCACAGGGCTAGGCAGCCAGCCCTGACCTGGCTAGCCCCTGTGGGTGGCAGTCTGCCCCACTCACCCACCGTGACCTTTATTTTCAGGGCGGCCAGCCAGCTGGTGGTGGGCAGCCGTGGGAGCCCGAAAGCAGGAGAAGGAATCCGTGTTTTCTCAAAGCCCCAGTGTTGGGCACACCCACAGGGGAATAATTAATCTCATGAGATTCTTGCCTGCAGCCTGAAGACCATGGAGAAGGGACGGGGCAGGGCCACGGGGGGCCTGGCCCCAAGGAGGGCTCACCAGGAAAAGGCTGAGTTCAGCATCTTGCTGAGGGAGAAACTGAGGCTTCCTAGGTGTTGAAATGGACTCCCCCACCTCACACGAGGATGCAGAGTGTGGAAAAGGCACAGGGTCCCACCTCTCACGGCCCCCGGAAGAAGTGACTCCTTTCTAGTGAGCTTTCTTGAGGGGACCTGCACAAAGTTCCCTTCTACACCCGTGTCATGTCCCCCGCAAGGTCAACACACCACAGTGATCCCCCACCTCGGTCTAACCCAGCCCCAGCGGCCTGGGCCCCATTCCCACCCAGCCAATTTGCTGCTGCACCTGGCCCCTCCTCACTCCCTCCTGAGCCCCTGGCCCTCTCCTGTCCCCCCCTGCATACCCCAGGGCTGCACACAGTCCTGTTCACCTCCCTCTACTCCCCTGGCTCCCGCACCTCCCCACACCAGCCACCTGAGACTTCTCCAACACACTTGCACACACACACACACACACACACACACACACACACACACTGAGCTCCGTATCCATTAGGCAGCAAAGGATCAGTGGTGTTAAGAACACAGATGAGGCCAGACAGCCTGGATTCAAACCCGGTCTCTGCTGGTTTCCAGCTGTGTGATCTTGAGCGAGTTATTTAACCTCTCTGTTCCTCAGTTTCTTCAAATGTAAAATGGGGATGAGAGTAGAGCCTACCTCTGAGGGTGGCTGTGAGAACCAAGCCAGTTATGCCATTTGAGGCACTTAGTGGGCATTCCACAAATGTGGTCGGCCAGCCCACAGCCCCCATGACTGGTACTTGCTAAGTGCTCAGTATATATATATATGTTGAATGAGAGAATAAAAGTTGGCCTCAGGAACACACCTGTTTGCCAACCAGTGGTCTCCCCAGAGTACCTGCTGGTTCCCAAACATTTGTGTTCCCTGCCACACACCTCCCACTGCACACCCAGGCCCACCCTGCTGCCCATGTCCCTCTGGGACACTTCTACCTGCCCTACACTCCTGCATGACCAGCTCAGTGACACACAGATCTGGCGCATACGCCCCTGTCCCTCCCTCCTTGCTGCCCCTCACACACATCTGCAGGGCCCTGGTGCACACCTGCATGCCTCCCTGCACACCGGCCACACCCAAGCACACATCTGCCAACTCCCAGGGCAGCCCTGATAGGCTCACACAGCCAGCCCGGGCCCCACCTTTGGGCAGACATGCACTCGCTTGCTCTGCACTCAGCACACACCTAGGACCACCACCTGCACACCTGGGCTCTAGACGCCCCTTTGGCTCGCTCCAGCGCACAGCTGCACCCCTGACCCCTCCCACACACCTAGTTACGCTCACCTGGAACCCAGCACTCCCCTGAGTGCCCGCAGGCGCACACCTATACCGTATTTGCACCCGTGCCCCCACCATGGCGGACACCTGGGGCCCGGCAAATGCACCTGGGGCCCAGAGTACGTTCCTGGGTCTCCACACGCGCGTCTGGGTCCCACACATTCACACCTGTGTCCCGCTCAGCGCACAACCCGCCCCGTTAGCCGCACGCTCTCCCTCCTGCCCCCCTGGGCGGGTGTCCGGCTCCCTCGGCGTACCTGGATGTTGCGCTTGCGCTCGCAGGCCGGCCCGGTGCCCTGCACCACGCTGTCGAGCACCGCCACCACGTCCGGTGCGGGCTCCACGAAGCAGGCGTTGCGCGCGGCGCGGATGGCGGCTTGCACGTCGGCGAAGCGGAAGGCGCACAGCGCGGCCGGAGTCGCGCGGGACGCGGGGGACCCCTGCGGCCGCTCGAAGACGGCGAAGAGCAGCTCGCGCGCGGGGAAGACGGACACCAGGCGGCTGTAGAGGTCGCCGCGGCCCGCGCCGCCCGCGCACTGCAAGCCCAGCTGGATGTAGGACTCGGTGAGCTTCTTGGCGTCGCCGCCGGCGCCGCGGGGCAGGCAGATGCGCGCCAGCAGGCTCCGCGCCTGGCTCTCCTTGTCGCCCGCGCGCGCCTCGCTGTTGAGCGCCAGGTACGCGTAGGACGGGGCGCCCGGCGGCGGGTCGGGCGGGTGCAGGAAGGCGCGCACGAAGCCCAGCTTGTGCTGCTCCTTGGCGCCCTGCTTGATCTTGAGAATGTTGTCGTCGGAGGGGTTGAGGTCGAAGGTGAAGAGCTTGGCCAGGTCGCCGCGCGCATCCAGGGAGCGGATGGCGATCTCGGGCGTGTTCTCGAAGCGGTGGTCCTCCAGGCTGCGGTTGCGCGGGAAGAAGGCGCTGCCGTAGCCGGTGTACGTGGCGCCCACGAGCAGGCGGCTGCCCCCCGTGCCGGCGGCCGGCGGCAGCACCAGCCCCACGGTGGACGCGTTCGGGTGGTTGGCCGCCACGTTGAGCATGCTGGGGAACACCGTGACGGGCTCGGCGGGCGGCGCGGCGGGCGGGAAGCGCACGGCCACCGCGGAGATGTTGCCCCGCCGCCGCAGCTGGCAGAAGCCCTGGTAGATGGACCCGCACACGACCACCAGGCCCTGGCCGGGGTCCAGCTGCAGGATCTTGTTGTAGTTGTCGGTGAGGCGCCGCGGGTGCTCGCACGAGGCCTGAGGCAGCTGCGGGGCGTGACACAGCGGGCTGTCGGCCACCGGGCCCACGGCCGCCTCGGCCTCCAGGCTCAGGTTGGCGCCCGACAGCTGATAGAGGCGGTTGACGGCCGCCAAGTACACCGTCCCCGCTGCGCCGTCCAGGGCGAAGTTGTTGGTGGGCGTGGGCGAGGGGAACCGGCGCTGGATCTCCAGGGCGCCGACACGCGCCGCCCCCAGGAGCAGCAGCAGCGGCAGCAGCGGGCACGGTG